CAGCGCTTCGAAAGCAATCTCCTCCTTCTACAAGAACCGCATGATCTTGCCTCGCAGTGGCGCAACGGCCAGGACATCGCGGGGAGGCGCGATTCGACTCTGCTGACTGCCATCGATGGTGCGTTGATCCAGGTGTTCGGTGCGATTTGGACCTTTTTCGTGGACGGCGAAGGCGCCATGCCTCAAAGCGCTTCGTGGAGGAGATGAGGAGGCGAGGAGTGCCCTTGTCAGCGCGCTCGTTTCATAGGGTGACGTGGCGCCGTGCTACGACATGCACTTGGCGCCGCAGAGGAGCAGCTAGAGCGCGATGGTATCGCCGCCGACTTCGACTATGCTGGCTCACGCGGCATTCGCAGGCACCGGCCTCGCCCGCGTTGGTGGCGTTTCCGTGCGACGTCGTCTTCGGTAAGCAGCCATCCATGCTGTGGCCGCTCGAAGCGGGCGAGGTATCTGGCGTCTATGACGCCAGGGCCGGCCATTCTGCTGGCGGAGAAGTGCAGCCCTGCCGAGCGCAGTGGCATATCCGAGAGATCGCGCTGCAACGTATGATCGAAGTTATTTGATTTTTCGCGTCAGCCGCGCCCTCTGGGCACGCGCCGCCGAATTTGGAGCGGGGCGCTTCAACGTTGGAGACTAGGTGGAGATCCACCGGCGTCCGTGTCTGAAAGACGCGTCGGGCTGCGCGGGGCCTGGGGCGATGATTTAGATGATTTAAAAGGCAAGGTTATTGTCGAGCACCGCTAAGCCGATATTGTCTACAGACTGCAGGGCGCACGGGCCTCCATCGGCGCCGTCTTCGACGACGTGGGCACTGGCGTGGCGCGAGCAGGCCTGGCCTGGGATACTATAGTATACCTCGACCACATCGCTCCAGGCTCCAGGGCCAGGACCTTCGGACACTGGGATGACGCGGATGCGCAGCTGACCGAGCAGTTTCGGCAACGCCGCGACATCCTCAAGGCTCTGCGCCACTTGTCTGACGTTCGCGCAGTGCGTCTCATGCGCAGCCAGAAGTCTGTGGGCGACTGGCCAGGCTGCACCCGCAGCTTGGCCATCTGGTGGTTTCCTCGGAGCCCGAGCGACGTCCAACAGCCGCGCCTGGGCGGCGTTGAGTTCGACGCCCGCCAGCTCAGCAGCGAGCAGTGGAAGGAAGCTCACATCGTGCAGTCAGTGTTGGGTTGCGAGCCGCTGCTTGCAGCGGACGCCGGGCAGGGCCGAGATGGGGCGCGCGATGGCTGTCATCGCTGTCTCCGAGGGCGCCGCCAGCGTCGCCGAGGGTGGTTCACCGTCAGCCCTGTCGGCCATGCCCGAAGAGGCCGACAGCGACTTCTCTGGCCACATTCAGCAGGTGATTTTGGCAGCTTGACGCGAATTCGAGGTGTGTAATATCTGGCCTAGGAGTGCCGTGAGTTGGAGAGCGCCGCTGGACGGCGACTGATCTCCGCCGCCATCGAGCACGCTGCGGCGCGGCCTTGGCCGCGCGCCACATGGGTCGCCCCAGCGCCTGGAGACGCTGCGACAGCGTCAGAGCATGCGCGCGCAGTGCCACTACTACATGGGCGGCGCTTCAATCGGCGACTGCGCCGCGCTGGAGAGGGGGGCTGACGCGTGAGAGCGCGCGGAGTTGCGCCTGGGGCCAGGGGCGCGCGAAGGTTGCCCGAGCTGCAGCGAGGTGCCGCTCGGCAACTGCGATGCCAGCGCTCCCGCGACAGCCGCGCTTAAGGCCCATGGTGCCGTCGAGGCCGCGGTTGCTGTGCGCGACGCCGATCTCCTGGCCAAAGAGGGCGCGTCGAGGCTGTCGATGGAAGTCGCCGCGGCGATCCTCGCGGAGCTCACCATCTGGGCCAATTGTAAATGTTTCGAGAGGCGGTCCCTCCAAGGCGCCAGAAACGTCGCGGATTCCAGACGTGTTTTCACGCGGAAGCACCGGAAGGGATCCGGTTGCAAAGCCGCCGGGGCCTTGGATTCCAGTGCCGCGTGGAGCCGAGAGGCTTCCGCGACGTGGGCGGCGGAATTTTGGAGTCGTTGGGAAGCGGGCCTCGCGGCGCGCGTCGCCGTCTGAGGCGGCGCGTCGCCAGGGCAGGGCGTGCGTCGCTGTGGGCGTCGAGGTTGCGTTCTTGCATGGTATGATCTACGCCGAGATGCAGGGGCACGGCGGAGCACCCCGTGAGGTTAATTTCGCCTTGCCGCCGGGCGTTGCGGCAATCCCGCGAGAGCGCGTCGCCGGGCCGACGAGTCTGGGCCTGGAGCTCGAGGTCAATCGCGAGACGTCCAGTGCACGTGGCGCCGGCGGCTTGGAGCCAGCGCCCATGCTGTCCAAGCGCGTTGGCGATGTGAAGATCGCGGGGAGCTAGGGGCGCGTTGACCAGCTGATCGGTCACTCGGAAAAGTGAAGGGCGACTGCGACGATTTCACGACTTGCCCACTTGCGGAGTGCGCCAGCACCGCAGTGCCGTTGGAACAGTGACGGTCGAGCAGGACGAGTGCATTGAAATCCTGACCTCCATAGGGCACGCGTTGCCAATGCGAAGGTGGACGGGCTGGCAGGAGGTCAGCTTCCAGAGCTTTTTGTTTCCCTCCTCGGGGCAGCAGCATGCGCGCTGCTCGCGCGGCGCCATGTCGCTGCATGTATCGCGGCACTGCGGAGGGCCAATAACGAGCTGCTCATCCGTCGCGCGATGCAGCTCGGCCCCCTCAGTTCTGGCCGCGCAGATGGTCAAGGCGCGCGCCGCTTTCCTGGCGACGGGGCGCGCTGGCCGACAATGTCCACGCAGCGGCGGATCGTTCTAGCGGGAGGGGGGGACTAGGTGCGACATGGGAGGGGCCTTCTACACGCGTCGAGGCCCGCGCATGCCATTGGCTTGACGCCGTGGGCCGATTGCGCAAGATCGCGCGTTGACCGTCGCTCGGCTCAGGGCTGCTCGCAGCTTGCGGCGCAGTTGACGGCCTACAAGCGCGCCTCCTGATGGTCCATGAGATGGTGCGCGGACCTGTCTCAGCCGGGGGGATCAAGGGGCGGGGGGGGGGGGGAGGGGCCGCGCAGTGCTGGCCGAGCAGGGCGTCGACGGCGCGTCTGTCTTCTAGGACATGGCCATGGGTCCTGTTCGACCCCCGCCGGAGAGAAAGGATGTTAAGACTTCTTCTGTGCTGGTCGGATCAGCTCCGCACTGGGCATAGCGACGACGCACTGTGGCGCAACACCAGAGACATGAGAGCCGACCACGTGACGAAGGGAAGTCCCGGCATCAGTCTCATCCTGAGCAGCATGGAAGGCAATCTCAGCTACGACCATATCAAGCTGAACGGCGAGAAACATCATACGGACGTACTAAAGCTCGCAACATCGTGATCTCAGCGTCAATGAGGAGGGCGAACCGAATGACTGATTCATTCGACGTTCACATATGTTGGTCCATGTTCGCGGATGCGACGTCCGACTGGCGTATCGCCCCATCTTGCCGACAATCAGGACATGTATGAAACGCGTGGTAAAGCATGCAAGTGAGAGGACTGCTGCTCCCACTAAGCATGCCAGTAGATTGGTAGACGCAACGGCAGTTGAGCATGCTAGGTGAGTGTTGTTCCCCTGAACTGTGTACCGCTGTTTAACTATGTATAACGGAGGTGGTCAGTATACCCCTTTGCTCTGCGTCTGTGCTCGCCTGGACTGTTAAGTGCAAGCGTTCTGTTGTGGTTTGGGGGTGTTCTAGGTGGTTTGCGCTTGGGATGCCACCGAGACGCGACGGACTCGCATCATCACCGTACTCGAACGGGAGGTCACTTGTGCTTTTTCGGGCGAGAAACAAGTTTTTTTGTGTTGTTGTTTTGTTTTTTTTGGGGTCCGCCGCCATGTAGGTCGACCTGTCCGCGCCCGCCTTACGCGACTTGGTACATGCACGCCGCATTATTCTGGCATTGAAAAGTGTCACCATCATCCATCAAGTTTTACTTTCTCTCTTTCCGCTCCCACTTCCGCTCCTTCTCCTGCTTCCTCTTTTTCTTGACCTCCTCTTTCTCTTCTTCTTACCCCCAGTCGCTTCCCTGTTTCTCCTTCCTTTTCCTCCGTTTATCTTCCCTTCTTGCCCTTCCTCTTCCTCGTTCTTCCTGCACATCCTGCCTCCCCTCCTATCCTCCTCGTTTCCCTTCTCCTTTCTTCTCTTTATATATCCTGCTCCTCCTTTGCTTCCTCCTCCTCCACCTTCTTCCTCCCTCATTTCATCACCATCATCCTTTCTCATTCCTCCTCTTCGTCATTTCTCCTCCTTCCTGGCCCTCTCGTGCCCCGTCGTCCGCCGAGGCGCGCCCCAGCGCGCCAGGTTCGAAAAACCAGCAAACACGGACCCCATGAGGGGGTTGGAGAGGGCCGATTTTGGCTGACGAGCCGCTCAAAAACTGAGCGTCCCCCACCGATGTCGAACCGATAAACATAAATATGTTTTCAGTGCATTTTGGGCGGGGATCTGGCTTCTTGAACCGCCCTGCGAGTCAAACGTGGTTCGGGGTGTGGTAGTTGGCTCCGACGGGCCCCAGCCGATCGATGTCCGAGGACGCCTCGGGCGTCTGGGGGATTCTGGGCCCCCCCCCGGCCGTCCGACCGCGGGCTATCCAGCGAGGTCCTGGAGACTTCGAGGTCGATCGTGCTGAGACGGCGACATCGCGCCTAAGCCTGCCTGAGGCGTGGTTCCCGTGGTCCCCTCTCGTTTCAGCGGTGGCTTTCGCCTGGCCTTCATATCTAATTAGTTTCGAGGTTGTTCTGACACCACACCACTTCGAGAACCACGGCTGATACCGCTTATCTCGACCCGCTTAGAATGTCGTTGTTTGGCCAGTTCGTCGGGCTAACTATGTGCCACCAAACGGTTGCCCCCCCAGCAGGCGACCTTTCGGTGGTGGTCATCACGTGCATACTGATCTGGATGTCCCTCAGCACCGCGCTTATCTTTTTCAACGCTATCATATTGCATGACTTTCGCCACCCGATCGCCCTGGGGGTCTGGCACATGGCGGTGTGCTCTGGGCTGGCCCTCGTCGGGAGGCTGCTCTGCCCCTCGGCCTTCGCGACAGGCGACGCCAAGGCAGGGACGGAACCCCTGACCCTCAGGACCGCCCTGCGCCTCGGCGTGCCCGTTGCCGCCATGCAGGCCGTGGGGATGGCCGCTGGAAACGTTGCCTACATGCTGCTCTCGGTCAGTTTTGTGCAGATGGTGAAGGCGTGGACGTCCGCGTGCGTCTACCTTGTGGGCTGCACGATGGGGGTGCACACCTGGTCGGTGGCCGTTGCAAAAACCATCGCGGTCATCACCCTGGGCCTCACGCTCGCGAGTCTCGGGGAGTTGAACTTCAACTTGCTCGGCTTCTTCGCCCAGGTAGTGTCCCTCGCAGCCGAGGGCTTCCGCATAAACCTCCTCGAGACGCGGTTGAAGTCCAACGGCTATAGGCTCAATCCTTTGTCGTCCTTGATGGTGTTCGCACCGATCATTATGGTGTTTCTGAGCGTGATGTCCTTGCTGTTCGAGCCAGAGGGGGTGTCCGTGACACAGATAGAGAAGGTGGGCCGAGAAGCTCTCTTGGCGAACGCTCTCCTCGCATTTTTTCTCAACATCTCGATATTCGTTGTCATACAGCGTGCCAGCGGCCTTGCCTTTGCGCTTAGCGGCGTGCTCAAAGATGTACTTATAATCCTTGGCTCTGTCATTGTGTTCGACACGACGCTGACGGGGACGCAGATGCTCGGATACTCGATCGCCGTCGGCGGCCTCCAGGCCTACAGCGTCGTGACCAAGGCTCCCGAGGCCTTCGAGGCTGGCGTCGTCCCAGAGCTGTGGAGGCGCCTGCGCGCGCTGGGCACGCTGGCGCCGCCGAAGGCGGCGTCAGCCGCGGGCAGCGAGGAGCAGGCGGCGGAGGTGCCGCTGCAGGACGGCCCCGAGGCAGACCAGCCACGATTCAGGGAGCTGTTGTCCTGACCCCCTTGGGGGACCCATCGGCTGTGACACCCCTCTCGGGGAGGCGTCGACGCGACGGGTTCCCCCAGGGAGGTACGACGCACAGCTCCCCCACTTGTGGCTGGTCGGCGAGGGCAGCCCCAGCGGCCCCGCCGTCATCGGCGCGGCGTCCACAGGTGGCACCGCCGCCGGCGCGGCGCCGTAGGTCTCCGGAGGGGCGGGGCTGCGCCGCGGCGAGGAGGGCGCCTGCCGCGCACGGCGGGCCCCCAGGGGCCGCGCGGGAGGCCGCTGTGCTCCCCCGCCGAGAGGGGGGCCACCCCCTGCGCGCGGGGGGGGGAAGGGGGGGGGCGGGCGCCGCTCAGTCAGGCCCAGGATCGGGACATATCGCTCTGGAACGGCCGCGGCGCCTGGTGCATGTTCCAGAACTTCCAGATCTCAGAGATCCCCGCTTTACCCCGATCCCATCGTGTCCTGTCCCTGGCTTCTAGGCGGAGGCTGGCTCAGGGGGGGCAACGTCGACCCCCAATCGTTCATTCATCGCCAATCGGGGCCTGGGTGCCGCACCCCGCCCAGGGACGTGCGATTTCGTTGTCGAGGACTTCTAGTCGATCTATCGGCGATGCGTCGCCGGTTCGAGGTCAGTGTTTTCCCCCCATGAGCTGAGCATGTCCCCCCCGGTCGTTCCCCCTCATCTCGGCCCTCGCCATGCGACGACTCGCGCGCTCGGCCCCGCAGTTTCGCAGCTGACGCCCAATCTTCCGACGTGCCTCGTCAAGCATGAGCGGGAAGCTTTTGCGGTCGGTGACTGGGGGGAGGGGACAGCGCTGCTCCAAAGCTGGCGGCGCAACATTCTGAACCAGCACGCGGGCACGCCCGAGATCCGCCATCCCAGTCTCTGCATTGCAGAACGCGCGTTGCGACAAGAGCCCGCGAAGATCGAGCCCCAAACCCACCTGCGTGTCTGGCAACCCCGTTCCTTGATAAGCATAGGGGCATACCCTGGGGTCAACCCCGCCACCTCGGGGCGCCGCGCACGGGGGCGCGGCCGTGCCTTTGGCGCACGGTGTTTGTCCACGACCAAGGTCGATTTTGTGCTGTCGGTGGGGCCGACGTCCCCCCCCGGGTGCCCATTCAGAAGTTCGGAACATGTTTCCCCAAGGTGTGTTAGCCGTGCGGGGGTCTTGTTGTGCTTATGAAATCATTGGATCGGACTTCCGGTTTTTTTGCCCCGTGCGCGCCCGTCGCCGCCTCGACTCCGCCTGGTGTGCTGGCGGGGACTGCAGGACGCGCTGACTGAAGGTTCTGGGTTTTTTCCACCCGTTGGCGTTCCATGGGTGCCTCGTGTGCTGGATGGCGCTTGCACAACATGCGTTGCACCACGCAGAGCGCGCCGCATATACTTTTGCACACTTCATTTTTTCTATATATATATATATATATGCATGTGCAGATCTAGAGTGCAACGGCCCACAGTTTGGGGTCAACGCTAGCAGTCATTGACGAGTCATGTAGGCGAGAAATCCAACCTGCTAAACCCTTCGAGGCGCGCGTTGTAATTCCAGTCCTTCGACTGCCTTCCGTGCTCCATCTCCAGTTTTCGAGAGAGGCCGGATTCCAAGTGAAGTCAGTTTGTCTGTTTGGATTCGCCCCGCACGAGTCTCATTTGTCAGCCAGCACCTCCTTCTCAAGTGGCTTTCCGAGAACGTGGTTGCCGATCCGCTGCCGACTCTGAATATTGATGATGGTCTAATGTATGAATCTGCCGCAGATTGGTCAGCGCTTGTTTCAGGCGAATGTCCCAGCCTTATGGGGGAGGGGGTGGGCGATGCGATTGTGGTAGCCGGCCTAGCCGAAATTACTGATGCTGGCGCATGCTTTCTTCTTGCTCGCTCTTTACGATGGCGCGGACAAGTTCTCACTGACTGAATGTATCCGCAATCTGGACATGCTGTCGGACATGTAGGGAGGCACGCAGTATATCTGGGGCCTCAGACCAAGACGTAGGCCGTGGAGCTCTCGACCTTCTCTTTCCCTTGACGTTCGTGCCGTGGGGACTCTTTGTTTGTGGGCCCTGGGCCCCGAGATGAACTTACAGAGGCCCGAACTCGGAAAGGCCTCTCGTGACGCTGGCGATCGGGGGAGGGGAGGCCCGAGTTCGGGACTCCCAGGGGGGGGGCAGGCCCCATGCACCCCTCCGTGCCTCTCCCCCAAAGGGGTGCACTCGGGGTCCACTCCCCCTCCGCGCTCGCTGCGACCGCAGGACCGCGGCGCGCGCGCGGGCGTTCGCGCCCGCGACCGCACCCGCGCGCACCTTCGCTCGGGCCCGCGCGGGGGGGCGGGGAGCGCCTGCCGCGTGCCGGCGCGCGAGGGGAGGAGGCGGGGGATCGGGATGGGTGCGGGAGGATAAGGAGCGACAGAACGACGTACACGCGTACACGTATATAAATCTACGTTGGTTTCGTGAGTACGCATTGCGCGAGTCTTTGTATCACGCACCTCGTCTCGCGGATCGAGGGGCCGTGTTCATGTACACGGTTGTGCGCGCACGTCTTTTGCGGGCTCCTTACGGGCGGGGTCTTCCTCCGCCTCCCTCTCTCCTCGTCCCTCCTCTCTTTCAAGTTGCACAGGCTCCAGCACACTGGTGGGCTGTAGCGTCAAGGCCTCCTTCTCCCGTTTTGCGCACGCCGCTTTTGAGGGGGGGTCGGGGGAGGCGGCAGGGTGAGGAGCTGGAGGCGACGAAGGGGGCGAATAGCTCCAGGGCGGACGCTACGCGCATTCGCCCTGGAGCTTCGCTGAAGACATGGGCCGTCGGCGCCAATGGATACGCGTATTGCTCCCCCTTAGCCCTTATTGGCGCCTCGGAACAAGGGACGTCTTGTTGGGAGTGGCTGCCTGCTCGTCCTCGCTAAGAAGGGGCCCCTCCCGGAGGACTGCTCGTGGGCGGAAGCCATACCCGTATCCACGGCCTCGCGGGCCAGGCCGCAACCTCGTAGATATGGAGCGCCATTTCGCGGATGCCCCGCGCGGAACGTATCCATGCGACCAGGTATCCACGGGATCGCGTCCTGGAATCCTGACCTCGAGGGCGTGGATGTGGACACCTTCGCCGCTCGTGAATTGAATCAAGTCGCCCCGTCTGGAGGTCGTATCTTCAACTCTCTACGCTTTGCTCCATTCTCCGTAATCCAGAAGCCGGGACAATGTGGGAATTTTGTGTTGCCCCCCCCCCTCCGTCACCGAAGGGCTTGTAAAAACGTCCGTGTCACGGAAGTGTTCGCTCTGCGAGTTTTTCTGCCGCGGGATTTCCCGCCGCGTTTGGAGACGATAAAAGGAAAGCGAAAGTATGTCAGTTTGTGGTTAAAAATGGGTGCCCCCCTTCCCCCCTCGGGGCTGATGAAAAGACCCCGCGGGGCACGACTTGTTGTTTGTGATCACGCGCGCCAGGTGGGGGGTGGGGGGAGGAGGGAGGAGGAGGAGGAGGGAGGATAAGCAACGACGAGGAAGCCAACGGCGACGGCGAGGGCGACGACGAGGAAACCAACGACGACGGCCACGACGACGACGGCTGCGGCGGCGGCGGTGGCGACGACAACCACGACAAAGGCAGGGAGAAGGGCGAAAGGACACGACAACCACGCCTTGCCCGGGTAGGACGAAAACCCCGGGAAAGGAAAGGGCGAATTGCGAATTTTGCTGCGCGCAGCTGGTTTCGGTCGCCCCGCCGAGGGGCCAGTCCTCGACGCATGGCTGCCTTCGGCGCCAAGAGGCGCTTGGAAAATCAGCGTCGTGAGCTGCTTGGCAAATGCCCACATTGCCACGCTCCCGTTTCGTCCAGCCCGCCTTGCCCGCAGGCCCGCGGGGCAGCTGGCGCCACCCTGGTGCATCAGTTCGGCAGAAAAGAGGGGCGCCCTGGCTCGCCGTTGCCTCCCGCACCCCCTGCCCCAGTCTGTGTGTCTGTCGCCTTTTCGCTGGCGGCCAGGAGTCGGCGCTAATCACCGGCGCCGCCGCCGTAGATTTTCAATTCTAGCGGGCGCCACCCCGCGATTCGCCCGAGCAGGGTAACAATTCTTTACGCGCGCGCCCCCCATTGGCGGGGGCGGAATCGGGGAGGGGATTGGGGAAAACGCAAAAGGGAAATAAGGACGACACCGCTGATGACAGCGGTGCGTTTTTTCCTCTCCAGCTCAGGTAGCGATCGCCGAACGCGAAAGTGCGCGCGAACTGCCGCCGTTCGTGATGCACTGCCGTGGCGCCCCTCCGCGGCGAGGCGCCGTTCGGCCGATGGGGCCTCCTTTCGCTGCCGCGGCGGGGCGGCTCCTGTTCCGCGGCCCCCTCCCGCCGCGACCTTTCCTTGCCGGCCGCGGGCCACTTCCACTCGCCGTCCTCAGGTGCGTCTGCCTATCTTGGTGGCAACGACAGTGGCAACGACGCCTTCTGGGCACGGCCTCCTTGCTCGCCCCCCTCGCGGTGCTGCTCTGGTGCCTGGTGCTCGGGCCCGTGCTGCGCGGGCGCCGCTGTAGCGGCGCCCTCGACCGCAGTTGCTTGCGCTGTCTGGGCGCGCCTGTCCTTCCTCCGCTCTGCCTCGCGTGCCCCCGTTCGGCCGAACGCGCGCTGGCCGTGCGCATTTGGAACGTCAGAAGGCGGCGGGCGCCGCCGCGCCAGCGCCCATCCATCTCCGCGATCCAGGCTTCCAGCGGATTCTCCGTCGCGCGGAAGAGATGAGCCTTGCGGGCGCAAGTCAAGTGGTGGCCTCTTGCAGCCTCAGCCCCGGCACGCCTCTTTTTCTCGCGCCCTTCTGCCAGAATCTGCTGCGTAGACTCATCTGACTAAGCCAGCCAATCCCGGTGGTTCTCGCGATTTTTTGTTTCGGGTAGTCGCGACCGCGCGGCGTCCCAGGGCCCCCGCCCTGATTGTGGCGCCAGTGCGCCGGCTCCGCGGTTGGGCTCGTGGAGGCCCCCGTTGCCGCGGTGGCCTCCGCCCTGCTGGCGTTCCCGCGTTCCGCGCCGCCGATCGCCGACAGGCTTCTGAAGAGCAACCCCGCGTCGCCCTTGTCTCGCGGGGCGCTCGGCGGGCGGAGCGGGCGGTATTCGCCAGGCCGGTCGAGTGCGAACCTGCTGCGTTTGTGTGGTTGTCATGCCCGCGTCAGCTTCTCCTCCTCCTGCGCCTCTCTCCCACCTCCGTTGCGTGCCGCCGCTGTGGCCCGCAAGGGCCCTTGAGTCACCCGGCGCGCAGGCGGCGGGCGCGCTTTGGCCCCCGTAAAAACAACGAGAACGTTCTCTCTCACAGCACGGGTCCCCCTACTTGTACTTCGCGTCTCTCTCTCTCTCTATATATATCCCTCTCTCTCTCACTCTCTCTACTCTCTCTGTATTCCATGCAGCTCCTCCCTTGCGTTCCACAGTGGCAGCGGAGCCCGCGGTTGCGATCCGCGAGGGAAGTCAGGCCGACCCCCCTGTCGCTCGATTCTTGGGGGACATATTCTTCATTTTTCTCTCGTTACTCCCGCGCCCCGCTCTCTTGCGCCGCGCGCCGCCGTGGATCTTCCGCGCGACGCTCAGCCCCGCGAAGATGAGCTTCCAACGGATCCTCGGCCACAACCTGGACAGGTTCCTTGGGCCAGAGGCGGAGGGCGAGAAGACGTTCCTTAGGGGCGGTGATTGCGACGCGGGCTGGTCGGATCAAGACCGGGCCCGCTGTCTCTCGCAGCCCTGGGCGGAGACGCAGCCCAATGCGTCTTCGTCCTCGTCGAGTTGGAACGCGCGGGGCCGCGGTTCGCTGGCTGCGCTGCCGCGGCTGAACGCGCCCCCGCGGGGACAGGTTGCGCCTTTGACTCCGATCGCCCCGACTTATTGGGGAGGCGCCGCTGCCTGGTCTTCTGATCGCCAGAAGAGGACAATTCCCGAACAGTCGGATGCCGCAGAGATACCGAGCGACCTACCCCCCCACTTGGGATGGAACAGATCATGGTAATTACTTGCTCAGACCCTTATATGAGGGAGCTGCAGACGTGGCTCGCGACTGCCGGCGCCTTGAAGACGCGGCGCGGATGCCCCGTGTGCCGCCGCGCCACGGATGACCTCAATCCTATTATCAACGAGCTCCCGCAGACTTGCTGTCCTCGGAGGACAGCGGGCAAGTTTCGGTCAAACGTGCTAGGAAGGCTTTCGCCGAGTACCGAGACCGCGGGGCGCCGAAGGCTATCGAACGAAACAAACTTTTCCATTCTGACGACGCCGCGCGTAAGTGAGACGAATCCCACCTAAATTATATCGCTCGCAAGCGAGCGTTCTTGCGCGCGGCCTTGCCAGGGGAATTTAGAGGGCGCGTGCTTCTCCGAGAATCCAAGCTCTGTGAGACCGCTGGGGCGCGGTTGAGCGCCATGCTGAGGGGTCGCATCTTTTCTGACATGGCGCGCGAGAAGCTCCGGAAGCTTGGGCGGCGGCCGCCCTCGGGCAAAGGCGGCCGTCGCACTCGTGGAACGATTGCCGCCTCGCCCTCCGTCGGCCGAGGAGACGAAGGCGGGCGTGGGGGCCAGGGGCCTGGCCGCGATGACTTCCATTGGATGATCATGGAACCGTTTCCGTTTAATTTGCCTGGGTCCTGCGAGGGGGGCGAGGTCCTGACTGGGGCTCTCAAGTGCATGGATGACGGAGACGCACTCTTCGTGGCTGGGACTCGCCCGAGGACGTGGTCTTGGATGAACGCGAGACTGTCGCCATCTACGCCGCTTGTAGCCAGGTGCGACAGGCGTGTGCACGAGCGGGAGCTTGGGCGAGGCTTTTGTAAACCGCCCCCTCCAAATGGTAAGTCCAGACGCTCCCGCAAAGGATTGCGCCGAGGGGGGCGAACTGAACATGTTCGACCGAATCGTTGGACCTAACGTAAACTTATGAACCAAGAGGCTCTACAATGGGCGCCGCTTGTGTCCCACCTCATCTGCGCTTTGATTTGGTTGTAGTGATCGCGCGTTGCGCATGCCGGGGGGTGGTCGGTCTCGCCTGTGCGCGCGCGCGGCGCTGCGCGCGGTGCCCGCAACGCTGATGGTCACAGTCCTGGGTAATGCGCGCCCAGCGACCGGTGGGCTGCGCGCCTGGTGGGGGTCGGCGCATCCGCGGGGGGCGCGTCGCTTCCCAGCTTGCGCCCGCGGTGGGGATGGCCCAGATTGCTGGGCAAGCGTCGTCAGCTTTAGGCGGGGGATCCAGGCGTGGGGCGACGCGTTGACAGGGTGCAGGACCGTCCGCCAGGTCTGGCCTTAATCCCGCGATTGGCAGTGCGTGGCAAACCGCGCGGTGCGACGTTGCCCGTTGTCGTGGGGGGCGGTAGTGAGGACCCGACCGCGTGCGTTGATCAGGTCGGCGCAGGCGCTGCGCTGTCCTGCCCCCGTGGGTCGCCGGCCCCCGTGGGCTTTGACGGCGCGGGTTGCCCTGGGGCGCGCGTGTGTTCGCTCGCTTTTCGGACGAACTCAGCAGTCACGTGGAAGGTTGCGGGTCGCGCGTCGCTGGGGGCGCGCCGACGGCGACTGCGGCCATTAGGGCCTCGGCCTGGGCGGTTGCGCCGCGGGGCGGGGGCGCGCGCGAGCGGGCGGCCTGAGAGCAGGCCCGTCGTTTGCGTGCGTGGCCGAGACCTGCTCGCGTCAGGGTAGTGAGTAGCGGGGGGCTTGCAGCGCGCCGTGGCCCGGGCATGCGCTTGGGAACAGCAGGTCCAGCCCCTGCAGGTGGCGGGGGCGCGCGCGGCGGGCGCTCCTGCCCGCGGGCGGGGGGGGGGGCGGCGGGGCGCGTGCCTTGTTTTCCGCGTCGTCCGAAAGGGCGTCAGGGCACCGCCGGGGCCCCTTGGGTGGGCCCTTTGGGTTGGCCAGCTTGACTGGGTCGGTTCCCTATTCAGCTGGGGGGCCCAAGCCTGGCGGAGGGGTGAAATCCTTGTCGAGGTGGGCGCGGGCCCTTTCCAGGGCCGAGTGTTGGCAGCGCGTGTCTAGGGGGGTCGGCCAGCGACTGGCTGTTTCACTCGCGCGGTCGTTTCGCGCTTTGTCCTTCATTTGTTCGGCGTGGTCGTGGAGCGCTTCGTCGGTGTTACCCGCCGCTTGTACTGCTTGTGCGCAGTCGCCGACGGCGAAGGGTTGGCACATGCTGCGCCCGCGCGACTTGGCCACCTGGGTCGCGCTCCAGTCCAGGCGCGCTAATATCTTGAGGTCTCATGATCGCATGAGCTTGACAGGGTGTTTAGGTTTTTGAACGTCGGGCACGGTGGGGCCTTGCCTCGGTGGAATCCCCTCGAACTGAAATAATAGATAGGGCCATGGATGGTGGTGTCTGGCCCGATCTAGTTCGATAGCAGTGGCGCAGCCGCGTTGCATGCGGCGGGGTCGGGGTGGGAAGATTCTGTCAGCGTTTTCAGGGCGTGTGCCCTTGGCCGGTTGCCGTGGCCCCGAGGTGATGGCGTGGTGGCTGTGCATGAGCTGCAGGGCCGTCTCGGGTCTTGTCCCGTGCCAGTGCCTTGTAGGATTGGTGATGCCTGGTTCGGCTACGTCCCGCGTCCGGTATGGGAACGCAGTGTCATCTGAGTTCTGGGATGTCTCGAGGACCCATGCAATGCGGGGCGGAGACTTCCCCATGATGGCGGACCCAGGTTCCACTGGCGCGGCGGTGGGGTCCCGGCTGCGGTTGTTACCCGGCAGCGTGAGAGCCTCGTAGATGGCGGTCACGCTTTTGGTATGTTCGCTAGCTGTCCAGCTACATGGCCCGACGGTCGCGGCGATGTGGCGCGGCGGGTTCGGGGCAGCAGGCTTGCGCTGAACCGTTTGGGGCGTGCGGGGAGGCGTGGGGGTTGTGGGGGTGGGCGTCGCCCTAATTTCCGCGGGGTTGAGGCCTCCCGCGTTGGCGCGGCGGTCGGGGGGTCCGTGAGGGCGTCGGAAACGAGAGCGCGGGGCAACTCCTGCACTTCTGCCGCCCTGTGCGCGGCCACGCCCTCTGGGTGTGGTTGCCGGGCTGTTGTCGTAGGCGGCGCCGGGGCGGCTTTCAGCCGCGTGCGCTGTCCTGCTGATCCACTCTGGCAGTGCGCGCCGTTCTGTAGGAGTGTCATTCAGAAGCGGTGTTTGAGCGACAGGGTCGTGACCAGCGCACCGATCCTGGCTGGGTCTGAAGCGCGCGGGGGCGAGGGCGCGCAAGTTGAGTTGTCTGGGGCCCGCCCCGTGAGTTTGCCACCCCTGGCGCAGCTGCTGTGGCAAATGAAGCAGCAGGTCGCAAGGGTAGCCGACATCGTGAGGGTGGTGCAGACGCACATCATAATGGGCGTGGCGCCGTTCCAGAGAGTGCCGATGTTGTTTCGGGCAGAGCGGATGGTGGTGATAGCATGTCCGCTGATGTAGCGCGTGTCGCGTTGTGCAGGGTCGGGGCGCCCATGTCGCCGCGCGGTAGTGGCCCCTGGGATGTTTCTTTCTGTTTTTTTATTCCCCCGTGCGGTGGCGGGTCTCTCTGGGTCCCTTGCCTCGGGTTATCTTCGAGGGCTTGCCAGGCCATCTTGATGGCGACGAGGGCGCGCGTGACTTGGATCGTCGCGCGGCAGCTCGGTGCGGCCGCGTTGCGCTGAGGGGGGTCCTCGGTGTCCTCGATGGGGTCGTCGGTCAGCTGGGTTTGGTCGGTCAGCCGCTGTCTCTGCGCCGCTGGGTCTGCTGTGTATGATGTATCGTGGTCGTCGGAGACGGGGTGATCGACGCCGCGCGTGAGAGGGTGCCACCTAGCGTCCCTGGCTGTACTGTCGCCTCGGCGCGGGGTCCTTGGGTGGGTCTTACTGTCCTGGGCAGTGATGGGCCCTCCAAGGTAGCGCACCGCTCTACGCTGAGGGCTCTGCCGTTCTTGGCGGTTGCCTCGCATGGTTCGGGTGCTGTCCGCGACCCCCCATGCTTGCCGGCAGCGTTCGGTGGCTGGTGTAATGCGAAGGAGGTCCGCCTCGAGAGGTGGTAGGTGGCTGCATGCTGCCGCCAGGGCGGGTTCCCTAAGGCTGGTGAACGCAGACTTGATGCAGTTGTCGTGCCAAGCATCCTCTTGATCTGTTGGCCACCACCCAGCCAAGATCTGCGTCTGCTGTTGCGGGTCGGAACACGCGTGTGTAGTTAACAAAGCAGGCGGCAGAGCGCTTAGGGGGCATGGTGGGGGAGAGCGAGAGAGTGCGCGGCGCGCGGGATCCGTGGTCATTGTGGCTCTAGGCGTCCCCGCTCGGTCTCGAAAACGAGGGTGAGTCAAAGAGGGTACGTCCGGCTTAGTTTGCTCTTGAACCCAAGCCGACTCACTTGTCATGGAGCCTGGCCCGCAGGAGCTTGCTGGCTTCAGGGTGCTCCGGGACGTTGCGGAGAGGGTGGGCCTCGACGGCGACGACGACGACGCGAAGCTGCCGCGGGGCAGTCTGTTCGAGCTGTTGGGCGTGTCTGGGGATCGCCCCATCGTCCGCGTTGCGGGTATCTCCCAGGCCGCCTTCGACGATCTTGTGGAGGATTGGTAAATCAGCAGTGGTGAGCGGAGTGCCCCTGGCAAGCCGGCAGCGCGGGCGGCCGCGACCGCTTTTGGGGCCGCCTGCCGGATCGCCGCGGGCGTGCAGCAGCCTCGGGTTGAAGCCTGGTCGCAGGCCCACGGCAACGTGAAGGCGAACTATCGCGTTTGCGACAGCATGGCGGCGCTTCTCCCTACGCTGGAGGCGCGCGCTAAGAACATTACAGAGGAAGGGGAGGCTGGCTCGACGAAAGCAGCCCTCAAAGAGGTCATCGACCCCTGGCTGGAGGGCGCGAAGCCCCTCTCGGACAGCGCCCGGGTCTTGGCGTGCACCGCGAATTACAAGATCTTCTACAGGGTCAAGCCCCCGCCGCTGGAGGAACTCACTCAGGAGCAGCTGGTTGCCTTGGATTCTGTCCTGCGGAGTGGACGGGTCCCCCACGCAGATTTCGCTGTGTTTGGGCCACAAATCAACCGTATTATCTTCAAGCAGGTGAAGCTCGTGGGGAAGACCTTCAACCCGGACGGCGCGTGGTCCATGGTGGAGCTGTTCGGCCCAGAGTCTTTTGAATCGCGGGGCAAGTCGCACGGCCTGCCCCGCTCGGGCCTCGTTCAGTTCGGGGCGGTCGATCTTGGTATTCTTTTGAATTACCGTGCTAATTTCCATCGTCGCTGACAGCAGCGGGGCCCGGAGGTGCGGCGCATCGCTTGCCGGGCAGAATGCCGCTGCCGCCTCGAGCTAATGGAGAGGCCCCACCAGCAGGTGAGGGGCGACTACGAAGAAGCCAAGCGGCGTGGCAAGGACCACCCGCGCGATCCCGATCGTCCTTGGTCTGGCAGATGGCAGCTGACGACGCGGAGTTCTGGAAGTGCGAGTTCGAAGACCCAGCGCTGCTGGCATTGGCCAAGACGGCGGGCACTTGTCGGGCCCTGCCCACGAGCAGGCGCCGAAGCGAGGGCCTCCCAGCAGCGCCGGTGCGCCACCACTTCCGCCCAAGAAGCCGCGTGGCAACGCGCAGGGCGAGCTGGTCCACCAGGTCCAGAACGTCAAGTTCGCGGCCAATCGCAGCGGTGTCAAATTCTGCCAGGCATTCCGCACAGGCCAGTGCGGGCAGACTCGCCGGAACAACATGTGCCCCAATGGCACGGGAGAGGTCCGCCAGCGCGAGCACTGCCTGGGCGCCGGCCACGGGTGGGCCCACCCTCATCAGTGCGCCAAGACGCCGCAGACCCCCAAGTAGACCAAGGGGGGTTCGAAGGGGAAGGGCGGCGCCCGCCGGTGAGCGGTCGGCGCCCCCGCGGCGCTGAGCCTGGCAGCGGCGCTCGGGTGCGCCTCCCGAGCAGTGGCGAATGCATGTCTTGGATGCGTGATTCCATCGGTCGCGCTGTCTGCAGCACCGGCCGCGGTTGATAGTTCTGGACAGGCGTCGTTGCTCAGCCAGGAGGCGAGGGCCTCTACGGTGCCAGCGCTGGCAGATCCGCCGTGCGGCGGCGGCCGCCAGAAGCTCGGCATCCTTGTCGTACTCGCCGAGCCAGAGGCGCTTTGGGGCCTTTCTGGCATATCCGAGCACTTCTGCAAGCTGGGCGAGCAGACGGCGGTCTACGACACCGGCGGCGGCGAGACGTGCGAGCTCCTGGCGCAGAGCGTGTGGCGCGAGCTTGACGCCAGGACTGGCGCGCTCGACTTCACGGGTACGCGCCGGCCCCCCCGTCTGCCACCTTTGCCGCTCGTGGCGACGGCAGCCCTCCCCTTCGCGGCGAGGCGGCTCGGGGCATCTACGGCTTCTGCTGTCTCCCGCCGGAGGTGGCCGAGCGCGTCCGCGTCGAGACCTGCGCCGTCCCTCTGGCTGGGCGGCTGCCGTGGCACGGGGGCTCGATGGAGCTAGGCCTACCTGGGTGGGCATTAGCTGGCGCCCGGGTTCCAGGTTGCCCATCTGTCCTCAAGCTCCCAGTTTGGCAGGCGATGGTGGACTCGCTGGCCGTCGTTGCCTCGCCTGGCGTCTGGCGCGCCGTCGGCGCCGTCGCTGAGCGCCCGGTCAGGCTCGCGCATTGTTGCGCTGCTTTCACCGGCGCCTTGGAGGCGGCCGCTGGACCGGCAGCTGCGTGCGTTTCTTTCGCGGGGCGGTTCGTGCATGCCGCCAGGGGGAACGGGCAGTCGGCGCCTGAAGCGGAGGCCGCGATGGTGCGATCTAGCCGCTTCTCCCGCATTGATCAGGCCAGCCAATGGCGACGCTGAAGAAGCAGATCTGTCCGATGCTCAGGTGTCCTTCGCGCTGCCTCTTCGTCAGCGCGTGCCCGACGCCAGAGCCGCCCGTTTGGCGCAGGAGGCCAAGTCTGTCGGCGGCGTGCGCGAACCATTGCGCCCCCTGTGCAAGGCCCCTGGCTTCGAGAAGGTATCGGCCGAAGTGTGGGCGTTCCTGATCGACGCGTTCATCAAGGACGCCTCCGTCCATGACAAGTTGTGGGCTGCCCTCGCCGGCGCGGGCGACGACGCCGCGCCCGCGGAGGCAGAGCTGGACGTCCGCCGCCCCGCACTCGCCGCGCTGCTGGGCGCGCCGTCGTGGAGCCCTGCCCGGACAGAGGCGTGCTCGAGCGATGTCCGCGCAGACGCGGTCAGGGCATGGGCTGCTCGCGCGGGCGACCCGGGCGCCGGCGTCGCAGGGTGGTTTTTCACGGGAGCTCCTGCTGGCGTCGTGAAGGCGCCGCGAGAAGACGGCGTGTTCCCCCTTGCCTCGGACAACGAGCCGCCCTGTCCGAGTGGCAATTTGGCATTCGATGCTCTCGGCGATGCCTCGGGCGGCGAGTCCGCGCATCTGGGCGAGGAAGCTGTTGAGGAGATCAAATCTTACGCTTCTCGTGGGTGGCTGGCGTCGGCGACAACTTTCGAGGAGTGCTGCGAGAGGCTCGCCGGCGCCCCGGCGCTGTCCAAGTTTGTCCTCCTCGCCGAGGTGAAGGAGGGAAGGGCCAAGAGGCGCCTTGTCATCAACCTGGAGGCTTCCAGCGTCACTGCCGCCGCGGCGAAGACTCACGGGGTGTCTCTGCCAGGCGTCATGGGCGCTGTCCAGGATGCTCTGGGGCTGCTTTCCAGCCGCGAGGGGGACAACTAGTTCGGCGTCGAATGGCTCGTCGTTGACTTCGACGACGCTTTCTGGAACGTGCCGCTCGCTGTCGAGGAGCGCTGCTACTTCGCCGCCAAGGTTCGCGGCGTGCGTTGCTGGTACTGCCGGGCGGCGCAGGGGGGCCGAAATGGCTTCTACGCATGGGCGTCGGTCGCTGCGTTGCTGGCAAGGCTGTCGCAAGCCTTATCTGCGGACCCTTCTGCCCCGAAATCCTTTGGGAAACTCCGGGCTGCCCCCCGATTGTAGACGCGCGTCGACGGCCCCATTTTGGCCGCGGCAGGATCTCCAGTGAAGCGTCGCCTGATGCTTTGCGCAACCGTGCTAGCCTGGAGGTTGCCTGTTTTCGGCGTTGCATCTGGGAAGGCGAGGCTCGGCGCAGCGATCGTTTGGATAGGCGTAAAGTTGCCCCTCGGCCCGGCCGGGGTCGCAGTGGAGATCGCAGGCGAGAAGGTTCTTGACCTCGCTTGCCTCGTTGAGGGTTTTCTTGCGTCCAATGTTGCATCGCTCAAGCGCCGCCGTGTATGTTCTGGGAAGGCTGAAAGCGTAGCAATGGTTCTCCTGGTATGGAGGCCTTTCCTCCGTGACCTGTGGAACGCAATGCTCGCTGCCAGCGCCGATTCTTCATCGCGCGCGCGCCTCCCGGTTGCGTGTGGACGCGGCAGGTGCGGGCGCACTTCGAGTGGTTCCTCTCCCTCCTCTGGCAAGAGAGGGGATCCATTGTTCGCCGTTTTTTGGTGAGGCCTACACGCGCCGCGGGCCAGCCGCGCGCGTGGGATTCGACGCTTCTCCGTGGGGCCTGGGCGGGTGGCTCATGTTAGATGAAGCTTTTGTCGCCTGTTTCGCGGCCCCCGTCTCCGGGGAAGATGTCGAGCTGCTGGGCGTCGTGGTCGGTTCGCCGAGTCGAAGCAGATTTTGGAGGGCCTGGCAATCTTTGCAGGCATGCGCGTTTGGAAACAGCACTGGTGTCAAGTGCGTTACAGCTTCGCTGTCGAGAGCGACAACATTGCTGCCCTCGCCATGCTGTCGAAACTCCGGGCGCCGAACCCAGCATTAAGTCATCTCGCCAAGGAGCTTGCGCTCGACTTGGGGGGTGCTGCTTTCCTCCCCGAGGACCTCTCGCACGTTCCGGGGGTCGCTGATATGTTGGCCGACCGGCTAAGCAGGAGGTATCAACCAGGATCCAATTGGCGCGTGCCGATTTGCTTCGACGGCGAGGTCGAAACGCCACGGCCGGTCCGTGCAAAATCCTGGTGCCGCACCCCGGCCAGGCAGTATCAGCTGATATTTCCCCACATCCAAAGTGGGGTTCTTGTTTTCTCTGGACACCCCGCGCAGGAACACTCACCCCCTCTTCTCCTCGCACTCATTCACACACACATCATCATCACTCGCACTCTCTCACACGCTCACGAACATCATCGTCATCATCGGTATCGGCATCATCCTCATTCAAACATCATCATCGCCACCACCACCCACAATCAATCATCATCCTCTTCACCACTCATCTTCACCACCACTCATCATCCTCATCCTCATCATCGTTGAGTAAAGTGTGAGGAAGTCTCAGGCGGGAGCCCCCTCCCTATGGGGCCCGCAGATCATGTTGGTAATCCGAGCGGGTCATCGGAACCCTGTAACTGTCGTCACTTTTGGGCTCCCCAGGCCTGAAAATGGAGGAAGTCTCAGGCGGGAGCCTCGTCTGTGAGTGAATTGGGAGGAAGTCTCAGGCGGGAGCTCCCTCCCTATGGGGCCCGCAGATTATGTTGGTAATCCGAGCGGGTCATCGGAACCCTGTAACTGTCGTCACTTTTGGGCTCCTCAAGCCTGAATATGGAGGAAGTCTCAGGCGGGAGCCTCGTCTGTGAGTGAATTCTGAGGAAGTCTCAGGCGGGAGCCCCCTCCCTATGGGGCCCGCAGATCATGTTGGTAATCCGAGCGGGTCATCGGAACCCTGTAACTGTCGTCACTTTTGGGCTCGTCAAGCCTGAATTTGGAGGAAGTCTCTGGCGGGAGCCTCGTCTTTGAGTGAATTGTGAAGAAGTCTCAGGCGGGAGCCCCCTCCCTATGGGGCCCGCAGATCATGTTGGTAATCCGAGCGGGTCATCGGAACCCTGTAACTGTCGTCACTTTTGGGCTCCTCAAGCCTGAATATGGAGGAAGTCTCAGGCGGGAGCCTCGTCTGTGAGTGAACTGCGAGGAAGTCTCAGGCGGGAGCCCCCTCCCTATGGGGCCCGCAGATCATGTTGGTAATCCGAGCGGGTCATCGGAACCCTGTAACTGTCGTCACTTTTGGGCTCGTCAAGCCTGAATTTGGAGGAAGTCTCTGGCGGGAGCCTCGTCTTTGAGTGAATTGTGAAGAAGTCTCAGGCGGGAGCCCCCTCCCTATGGGGCCCGCAGATCATGTTGGTAATCCGAGCGGGTCATCGGAACCCTGTAACTGTCGTCACTTTTGGGCTCCTCAAGCCTGAATATGGAGGAAGTCTCAGGCGGGAGCCTCGTCTGTGAGTGAACTGCGAGGAAGTCTCAGGCGGGAGCCCCCTCCCTATGGGGCCCGCAGATCATGTTGGTAATCCGAGCAGGTCATCCAAAACCTGTAACTGTCGTCAATGTTGGGTTCTCGCGCTGCCAGAACGCAGTTCCCAGGCCACACTTTGGATGCAACAAGGAAGTTTTTGGGCTCCTCAGGTCGCCGAGGTGCTGCGACAGGGCGCCGAAGGCGCCGACGACGACGGCCAGGCCGAGGCGCGGGCGCGGAGCTTGCTGATGTTCAGGCCCAGCGAAAGGGAGTTCACATGGCAGAGCTCGGGGGCGCACAGCGTGCGCCGCTCGGGGTTCACCCTGACGCACGCGTCCTACCTGACCTCCACGCTGTCGCAGGGCCAGACGCTGCGCAAGGGCGTCACCATCGACTGCGCGAGAGACGAGGACGCTGGCCGCACGGGCATGTCGGACGAGCAGTGGTGGCTGCACCTCTACGTCATGTTCTCCCGCGCCACGTGCATGCGGAACATGCTGATCCTGCGGCCGCCGCCGCGAGAGTTCCTGGAGTGCGGGCCGCCGGCGTCCCTGCGGAAGGCGCTCCTGGAGTTCGACAAGAGAACGGTTTTGTCCAGGGCGGAGGCGAAGCAGCTCGCGGCAGAGCTGGGCTTCGTGCTGCCTTCCGCCTGAGCGCGGCTGCGCCTCGCTCGAAGCCCGCGGGGTTGTCCCAACGGCTTGGTCTTGCGCGCCAACGGCTCGCGGGGTTGTCCCGACAGCCTGGCCCGCGGGGTTGTCCCAACGGCTGCGCGACGTGACCAGTAGAGAACGCGCCTGTGCTGGCCGTGGCGGCGACGGCGCCGAGGAACATCGACATGCGCGCTCATGCAACAGGAAGGGGAGGAGGTGGCGGGGCGCGGAACAAACAGGGGGGCGAGGATGGGGACAACGTAAGGAGTGGAAGGGGGGCCCGCGCCAAGGCGAGAGGAAATATACGCAGAAGAGACAGCCAGGACGCCTCACCAACCACGAGGACGACGGTGATGGCTTTTTCCAGATTCGCCCAGAGGATTCTTATGTGGGGTTCTTCCGTCGGAGTAATTTGTGTTTGCATCGGTGTTAGGACACATGTGACCAAGTTACTGCCAAGGCCGGCAGCGACCGTTCAGGTCGCCACGATGTTGTGCGGACGTACCGTCGCATCATATTTGAGTCGACATGTAATCATTGAAATTGCATCCCCGCCGATGGCGACTTCGTCGTCCGCCACGGCGCTCTTGTGAGCAAATACCGCGCTGACCGAGAGAGAAAAACGGATTGCCGATCCTTTCTCTCGTCGTGCTTCTCTCTCTCTCTCTCTCTCTCTCTCTCGCGTATGGCTTGCGGCCGGGAATGTGGCTCGTGCTACGAATTTACACAACTTTTGGACGCGCCGAAAAGGTCATGCTCGCACGTGCAGCAAATCGTTCCCCAAGGGCAACATTGCTGGTGGGACCCAGTGCCGCGCTGACTCCAGCGGGGGTGTCCCAGGACGGGCGGGGGGGGGAGGTAGCACGTGCTCCTTCGGGACCCCCTCCCAAAAGCGAACTTCGGCAGTGTTCCTGTGAAAAAAGGCCGGGGGGGCATCAGTCGTCTGTCGTCATTGATGTTGCGTTTCCGCGCCATTCCGTCGCGGGGACTGCGGCCCCGCGTGGCTTGCCCCCCCCGGGAGTCCCACGGTGCTTCGGTGGATGGGCGGGCTGCTCGCTCCGAGCCGGCTTGTTATGCTTGGTAGTTGGTGTGCGTTGTGGGTGTGGCAGGGTTGTTAGCCGCGGTGCCGTCGGCGAAGGCGAGCGTAGGTGTGGCCTATGTCCCGCGCTTGGCTTGCAGGGGCATCTTAGGGGCAGGGCTGAAATCAGCTGCCCCTGGTTTCCGTCGGCTGCAATTTGGGCCCGTTGGGGGACGCGTTTTGCTTGTGTCGTTCTCCTCTGCAGTGTTGGGATTGTGATCCAGAGCCGCGCAGGGGGCTGGTGCCGCGGTTACCACGGCGGCCCAGACTGCCCACATGAGCAGCACAGTGAGGATAATGCGTTTTGGTGTCGTTCTCGGGGTAGCTGAGAACGGGAGGGGTTGGTGATCGTCATGGTGGGGGTTGGATAATCGTCGGGGTGATCTGTGTAACTGCCGTCAGAAGCGAAGGGGTCGTCGGCTTGGAACTACTGTTTGCCGTTGAAGCTAAATTGGGCTTGGCGTGCAGTGCCGCGCTGATGGTCCTCCTGCAGGGAGGGGCCCTGTGGCGCGTCGGTGTTGCCAGTCGTGGGGTTATGCCCTGCGTCGTCCTGGGGGGTTTCGGGAGATGGCGTGGGCCCCTCGTCTCCTTCCGGGGCGTCAGGGCAGCATGCTGGCTGGGGGTGGTCGTAGGCCCGCGTGGCCAGGTGGCGGGCCAGTGACGCGTGATCAGGCTGGTCGCGGTGTAGGTTAAGGTGGTGCGCAAGATGCGGCCGACGCAGGAACACAAAAAGCATCCGTGTGGTTGCCCACGTTATCCATAGCGGTTTGCCTTTATCCCACTGTCCGGCCCAGCGTAGCAGGTCCCGGATGAACGCGTCGGCTGGGTCCTCCAGGGCCGTCGTGGTTGGGAGGTACATCGCCGTGCACTAGTAGGGGTTTTGCTGATCCGCTGAAGCTGGGCATTCGACTGGTGGGATGAGTTGACGCTGCCTGGCGATGGCGGTTGCGGGGGGGTGCCTCCGCAGACCCAGCTGCGCAGGAGATGGGTCGTCTTCCCCCTGACTGTCGGAGGAGGCGCTCCTGCGGTCGACGGGGGGTTGTTGGGTCGCGTCGCAGCGGTTCGGCGTCGGTCGGTGGGTGCGCCTCCGCTTGCCCGCTCCTCTAGGTGGTGTGTCGTGTGGCGCGGGCTCATGCCCATCCGTTTGCGTGTCCGCGCCGTTGTGGGTCGGTTTGTGCGCTTGTTCGGCGTAGGGCTTGAGAGCGCACCTGTGAGCGGCGAGCCTGCGCCCATGCTGGTGGCTTCTGCTTGCGCCGTGTCGGGCTCTCCGTTGTGCGATGGGCCCATCCCAGTGAGGATTGCCTCGTGTGGTTGCGGTGGGGCGGCACGGTGCAGCCCCGCGAGTATGGGCGCGGTTGGGGGTGGGACGCGTTGTCCCAGCATGTAGCTCGGGAAAGGGGCTGCGTGCGCCTCCAACCCCGCTAGTTGAGCTTGCGCGCGGGTTCCCCCTCTGGGCCTCCTCTTGGGACCTTTCTCGGGCTCTCCTGTGCCGCTTTGGAAGCTTATGGGGCCCTCTTGGGCTGTCTTGGAGCCCTCTTGGGGGCCTCTTGGGCCATCTTGGGTCGATCTTGAAGGCTTCTTGGGCCGTTGTGGGCCTCGCGAAAGCCCAAGACGCGAATGTGGCCAAAATAAACGAGTTCCCTCGGGAATGGGACGACCTTTGCTTCTGGAGGGCCTCTCGGGACGCCTCTTGGTGGCTTCTTGGGGCGTCTTGGGGGCCTTTGAGGCCGTCTGGAGGCAACCTCGGGCGTCTTGAAGCGATCTTTCGGCGACTCGTAGCCCTCTTGGACCGTCCGGGGAGCCTTTGGGGCCCTCTTGGTCCGTTGTGGGGCTCCCCGAGGCTCCGAGGGTGCGGTCGGCACTTTTGCCTTCCCCCCCCTCCAATCTGGCCGGACCGGGCTCCTGGGGGAGGTGTTTTGGGAGGGGGAAGAATCTCTCACGCCGTGACCCCAAGGGGTCGGCGGATTGCTTACAGGACTTTCGTCTTTGCCCCTTCTCCCCCCCTCTCTCTCTATTCATACTTTTCCCTTTTCCTCTTCTGTGTGGTAAGAACTGCTCTTGCGGTGTTTGGCCGTAGGAGATGCATCCGTGCGCCGTGCCATTTTCGGTTGTGCCGCCATTCTAGGTGATTGATGCGCTGTCTGTCTTTGTGGTGACTAGCGCGATGACTGTATTCCCTTTCCCGCCCGCCCCCCTCGGAGGTTGCCATAGGTGTCGCTGGCCCATGGCGCCCTCAGCCTCTCGCGCCATTTTGGAGCCCCCTGGGCCACCCCCCTGGGCCTCGTGAGAGGTGCTCTGGAGGCCGCGGGGGCCTCCTTGGAAATCCTGGGGACACTGGACAGTGCGCTGGGACGCTTCCCTGGCCAGCGAGGCTTCCGAGGGCCGGACGGGCTGCTCGAGGCGGACGCATGCTAAAAACGGTCCCAGTTTCCTGGGGGCGCGGGTCTCCTCCACGCCTTGCGCTCCCCAGTTGGAAGCAAAAACGATCGAGGCGGCCTGCGTGCGCCCCAGCAATGTTTCCGCCAAATCTGGGGTCGCCGAGGGCCAGAGACTTCGGCGGCAGCGCCCAGACCCCCCCCCTTCGTCCGCGCCCGATTTTGCCCGCCGACGCCCTCTCCCTCGGGCCGTCTCGGCGGCCTATTTTGCCCCCTCCCCACTGACTGCAAGTCCCCGGAAGCCCGTCCAGGCTGCAAGGATGCCGAGAACGATCAGAACTTGGGCTCCCGATCTTCGATCCCCCTCCCCCTCCCCCGCGGCCGTCCTCGAGGCAAGCGGCGTGGAGAGATCACTCCTTCGCGGCTCCCAATGTCGCGCCGCGGCCCGCCGCTGCTGCGCCTTGCGGCGCTGGGCCTGGCGGCCGCGTCGGGGCCGCCAGCGGGCCAGGTCCGCCGCTCGCGCCCGGGGCGTGCCGCGGTCCCAGGCCTCCTGGCGGAGCGAAGAGAGATCCCCGAGTCCAGGTGCCTCCAAGGGTGGTTCTCCAGCCCCGGGGCCTTCAGGTCGAGAGTTTCAGTGAGGCTGGCGGAGTGAACGGCCCACGGCGTCGGAGGTCTGGGATCGTGTGCGGGGCTTCTGGATATACGGTTCCCTAGGGCACTGCTGGATGCCCGGGGGCCCCTGGACTCACTCCAGCAGACGCGCCTCGGCGAGGGCTTCTTGGGGGCGCCAGCTTCTTCCTGAACACCACTTCGTCCCAAGCAAGGACCTCTCACTCTATCGCTTGCTTCGTTTCCCCGGGCAGGGGTGTCCCTCATGGTCAGTTGGTGTTTGATGCTTGTTAAGCATCGTGCGAAGTGGTGACCCGAAACACCTGATTCACGACTTGGTGCTAAGCGAACTCCCGATTCGGAAGCCGAACGCATGGGCTGGTCATGCTTCAGTTACTGGGCGCAGCCCGTAGTTGATTTTGGCGTGTCGGACTGATTTGAGCACAGTTGAACTGGGTCGCCAGGGACGCTAGAGGGCAGTTTCGTCTTGCAGTGTTTAGGGGCTGGTTGAGGACATTTGGGGTTTGATTGCAGTTTTAGGCGGGTAGGTGGCATGACATTTTGGTTGCAGTTTTAGGCGTGCGGGTGGTGATATGGTGGGTTACAGTCATGACTCGGTCGGTGAGGATATTCGAGTTGCTGTTGTTCCCGCGGGGGAGTGGCGGGGGTAGACAGTTGGGTTGTAGTTTTACATCTCTTCTCGCCCTCTTTCGATCAGTACGGTGGACCCTCTGTGATGATCACGTCGGGCGCACTCGCCTTCAGGTCTCTGGTGCCGGCACGGCGCTTGTCCTCGAGGCTACTTGTGCCCAGCTGTGCCCTGCTCTCCGCGAGCATTGGCGCAGTGCTGAGGCCGCAAAGGGCCCCGAGGCTGGCTTCCGCCCCGCTGCCGCGGTTGCCGCGGTCCGTTCGTGGCATGCGGACCTCGTCGGTCCTCTGTCACGCCAGCCTCGCCATTTGTGCGCCTCACCCTGGCGTCCCGTCGGCCTCTCGCCGCTCCGCCTTCGCGCTGAGTGACCCGTCATTCGCGCCCCGCTCTTTGCCTGCTTCCGCTCGCCAGCGTCTCCTCCGGCGTCGTGCGTCGCCCCCCCCCCCCCCCCCTTGCTGCTTTGCCCCCTCCCCCCCCCTTGCTGCTTTTGCCGACCCGCAGGCGGGCCCTCTGTGTCGGTCGCGGGTCCCGCCCGCTGCGCCCACGCCGCCGCCCCGGCGCCTCTTTGGTACTTGTTCTCCCCGCTGGCACCGCCCTTGTGGGCGCGGCCCTTTGCGGCCCCACCGCCCGCCTAACTTTGACGTGCTCCTTGCTCTGGCGCCTCCTCTTCGCTCGCTGCCGCCTCCGCACCCCTTCGCCTGCTGCCTGCCGCTTGCCCGCGCCTTGCACACATATTTCGGCCGCCGACCCCCGCGCCGCATTGCAAAACCAGAGCTTTGGGGGTGGGCACGTGATGCGTGCTAAGCGGGGAGGTTGCTAATCTACTTTGCTGGCAGAGAGGATCAGTTGCTGGTGAGGATGGCCATCGGTTGAGCATTTGTTGCTGGTGGTTCCAGGTCAGGGCGAATGTGTGGATATGTTGTATGGCAGTGTCAGATCAGGGGTGAGATATCCTGTGGCCCTTGGCCCAACCCGCCACGATGTTCAGGTCTGGACCAAAGGCCTCCCAGATGTCTCTAGGGGTCTCCTGGGACGCCTCTTGGAGGCCTGTCTGGGTCCTCTTCAGGATCTCCCGAGGGCGTCTTGGTGGCGGGGGTCCCTGGCGAAGCCTGGAATGCGATCAGAACGTCGATACTGGGCCCAGGATGGGCCTGGCAAGGATCGGAGTTGGTGTGCAGCTGGAGCCCCGCTGGGCCCCGCGGGGGGGAGGGGGGGGGGCGCTTTTGCACTACGCCCTGTCGCGCGGCTGGCGGCCGCAGGCGCCCCGAGCGGCCGAGGCGCCTCCGCCGGCGCCGCGCCTGGTGGGGCGCCGGGGCGGGGCGGCGGTAGGCTCGCCTTGGCCTCCCCGCGCGGCGGTCCGACCTCGGCGTGAGGGATTTGGCCGTTCCGTGCCTCCAGGTGTCCCCGCTCGCCTTCCCGCCTCCTTGGAGGGGCGAGGCGGCCTTGGCCCCGTCGCGCGATGAACAAGGTCTCGGCAGAAGTTTTTTGACCGTGCCCAGCCTCGAACGGCGTTTCATGGGCCTTGGGACCCGTCAGAAAACGGCCCAGGGTGAAGAGCCGCTCCGGGTGAGGGGGTCCAGAGTTTGGGGGGTCAAGCTGCGGGGAAGTCACCTCGTCGGATATCTGGGAGGAGGAGGAGGAGGAGGAGGAGGAGGAGGAGGAGGAGGAGGAGGAGGAGGAGGAGGAGGTGTCAGAGCATAGCGTTCCGACTGGGTGAGCAGGTGCTTGGCTGTAGTGGATATCGCAAGACGACGGGTTTCACGCACGATTTTACCTAACAGCGAAGACTGATAGGTTTCTAGTTGACTCAAAAGAGCTCACAGATCACTCCACAGGGGGGTCCGGGCAGGCGTTGGGAGTTGCCGGCCAGGCCTGTGCCGGGCTCGTTTTTCACCAACAGTCACACACTTCGTGCTCGTCGACCTCTCAGAACCCCATTCCCAGGCCACATTCTGAATAACCGGATGCAACAGTCACACACTTCGTGCTCTTCGACTTCCCAGAACTCCATTCCCGGGCCACATTTTGGATGCCCGGAGCCAACTGTAGGCCACTTCGTGCTCTTCCCCAGAACTCCATTCCCGGGCCACATTTTGGATGCCCGGAGCCAACTGTAGGCCACTTCGTGGTCTTCGAGTTCCCAGAACTCCATTCCCGGGCCACATTTTGGATGCCCGGAGCCAACTGTAGGCCACTTCGTGCTCTTCGAGTTCCCAGAACTCCATTCCTGGGCATGATTTTGAATGCCCGGAGCCAACTGTAGGCCACTTCGTGTTCTTCGAGTTCCCAGAACTCCATTCCCGGGCCACATTTTGAATGCTGAGGCAGGCTGATGCTGAGGCCGAGGCAGGCTGAGGCTGAGGCAGGCTGAGGCTGAGGCCGAGGCTGAAGGCAGACTGAGGCTGAGGCTGAAGCAGGCTGAGGCTGAGGCTGAGGCAGGCTGAGGCTGAGGCTGAGGCAGGCTGATGCTGAGGCAGGCTGAGGCTGAGGCTGAGGCTGAGCAGCTGAGGCTGAGGCAGGCTGAGGCAGGCTGAGGCTGAGGCAGGCTGAGGCTGAGGCTGAGGCTGAGGCTGAGGCTGAGGCAGGCTGAGGCTGAGGCAGGCTGAGGCTGAGGCTGTGACTGCGACTGCCGTTGCCGCTGCGACTGTCATCGCGAATGCGACTACGATTGCAAGAACAGCAGAACTCTACAGCTGGATTCTCACCTGAATCTTAAGGGGAATGCTTTCAGATATGCCTCTACACATCGCTGTTAGGTTGCTTTGCCGGGATAATTTTATTGTTTGGCTCAAGTTCGATTTGCCGCCAGGGGAAAATGGCTCCTATCATATCCAGCTGCCTACCACAAGTCCCGCCACCGTGCCTGGATTGTGGGTGGTAATTAAGCATCGTGGATGTTCGTTGGGATCTCGTGGGAGGCCTCCTGGGGGCCTCTTGGAGGCAGTTTGAGCGCCTCCCGGGGGCCGTTTTGAGGCCTCTTGGAGGCCCGTTGGGGGCCTCTTGGGGCCTCTTGGTGGCCTCTTGGGCGCCTCTGGGGGCCTCCTGGGGATCCCTTGGGGCGGAAGGCTCGGGCTGCACTTGGACAATTGGCTGGCGGATTACTGCAAACGCCTCTGGCGTGAACCGTTGGTCCAGTGGTATGAATGTGACGGGAAGCGTCGTCGAGGAACGAGAAGCGAACTGGACGTTCTGGCTGAATCTGTACACACACATATATACATATATATATATATGTATGTATGTATGTATGTATATATATATGTATATATACATATAGATACATATACACAGATGACGGTAAGCGTCGTCGAGGAACGAGAAGCGCGTTGGGCGTTCTGGCTGAAATGGTGGTATATGAATATTGCAAATTTAAGCAATTATTCTTACTCTATTGTTGGGGCTCGCCCGGGGAACTGGCTTAGCGAATGACGGGAAGCGCGCTCAGACTCGAAGAGTCGCGCGATGGACGTTGCTGTAGGCCTAGAGGGAAATATCATCAACTGGGGGGAGTCTGAGGGGGGAAAAGCTCGGAGTTGCTCCTTGAGTAAGACCAGGTGGATGACGGGAAGCGCGCTTAGACTCGGAGATTCGCGCAATGGACGTTGTTCACGGGCCCAGAGGGGAAATCTTTATCAAATGGGGACCCGGGGGGTAGTGGCGGCGGCGCTGCTCCTTGAGACTCACTTGGTGGATGACGGGAAGATTAGAAGGCCCTGGCTCGAGTGCGATACGCAGATTTTGTTGAGTCCGTGGGGTCGCACCCCCCCCGCACAACATATTTGCGCAGCGATGGCAGTAACGCATCATGTTTGACTCTTCCTTCGTTCGGCAGCAAAGCATCCTTTCTGCTTGCCTGCTTTCAGTAATTAACGTGTTCTGCCAGCCTCACCGTCATCATGCGCGCTGGAGGGCCGAGCGGTCAGCGGCGGCACGACCGTCCTGGAGTCCCGTGGTTTTACAGGTTCTTGCGACCGAGACGAGCTAGTGCAAAACATCGCCATTCTCGTAGTACCCGTCACCTCAAACTCGCCAGTGGGCGGGTCTGGTACAGAGGAGTCCGCACGCCAGAGACGCAGTGGCTTTACCAGCCTTGCTGCGGGGAATCACACACGAGCGTCATTACACACATCCTTCTCTTCTCATGTCATGGAAATTGATGGTGCTGCTCGTCCTCAGCGTTTTTTTTATAAGCTTGACTTGGGCTAGGGCTCGCTTTTGGTGGGTCGATGGACTTTCCCCCGTGTGGATGATGATGATGATGATGATGATTATGATGATGATGATGATGATGATGATGATGATGATGATGAAGCTGATGATGATGATGATGATGATGATGATGATGATGATGATGATGATGATGATGATGATGATGATGATGATGATGATGATGATGATGATGATGATGATGATGATGATGATGATGATGATGATGATGATGATGATGATGATGATGATGGTGGTGGTGGTGGTGGTGGTGGTGATGATGATGATGATGATGACGATGATGATGATGATGATGATGATCATGATGTGTTGGTGGTGGTGGTGGTGGTGGTGGTGGTTGTGGTGGTGGTGGTGGTGGTGATGATGATGATGATGATGATGGTGGTGGTGGTGGTGGTGGTGGTGGTGGTGATGATGATGATGATGATGATGATAATGATGGTGGTCTGACATCACCCTTGATAATGATGACGGTGATGACGATGATTGTGAATGGTGATGGTGATAGCGATGATGATGGCGATGGCCATGGTGGATGATGGTGGCCATGGTGATGGTGGCCTTGTTCTCCTCCGTAGCCGCGCCGGTTCGAGCGCCTCTTGGGATTCGGAGCCGGCAGCGGCAATGTCCAGCGAGCCGAGCCCGACGCCGACCGCGACGCCGAGGGTGACGCCCAGGTCCGAAGTCACGCCGAAAACTGCGTCCAGCGCGAAGCCGGACGCCGACGCCGACGATTCCGACTTGGGCCCAGGTTGCCATCATCCCGAGACAGAGGACGAACTGTTCGGCGTCTCCGACTCAGAGACAGAGTACGAAACGCCCGACGTCCCCAGCGCGGGCTCAGGTTCCCATCGTCCCGACACAGAGTACGATGTGCCCGTCGCCTCCGACGCGGGCTTGGTTTCCCATCATCCCGAGACAAAGTACCAAGTGTCCGAAGACGCCCGCGGCCGTGACAGCAAAGACTCGTCTTCCGAAGGTTCGTGTTCTGATAGCGACCGCGGCCCTACTAACAGCAAAGACTCGTTTTCCGAGTCGGCCGTGGCTGCGCGTCGAATGCCTCCCCGAGCAAAACCGTCGAGACGTTCGACCCTGGTTCCGTGGCCTTTGCGGAGCACGTCGCCGGCCACAGCCTCCCAGAGCACGTCAGGACGCGCGGCGCTAACCACTTTTGGAAACACAGGTTTCAGTGGAGCGCTTCTTTCTCTGCGACGAACCCATTAACGCAGAAAAATGAAACTTGGATAGGCAGCGCCAGTGGTAGCTTTGCAATATGTTTGTTTGCGCGGCGTTGAAGGGCCCTCTGTGCCGCTCCGCCTTGGGCGAAGGCGTCGGGGGATTCCCTCGTCGCCGCGACCCCCTGCGCCACGCCGAGTGCGCGGAGCACCAGGCAGCAGAAGCGGCGTGGAAAGATCGGGTTCGAGCGGAAGGCGCGCGCAGGGGTCTCCCCGTTTCAGCTTTCCCCGCAACGGCCGCAACAACTGCGACAGCTGCAACAGCCGGGGCGCAAGCGCCCGTCATCGTCCGCACCGCCGACCCTCGCCCTGGCTGCCGCGCAGCGGTCGCCGCCCGTGCAATCTCGGAGACGTCCAGTTCTTTCAAACGTTTCGATGCGCGGCGAGATGCGCCCCTCGGGGGCGACCGCGCAGCTTTGGGGTTTCGTTGGCAGCGCCGGAGGGCGGCGACCGCAATGGCTCAGCGCGAGAAGCTCGCGACGCAGTGGGTTTTCAAAGAGGGCGTTGTTTTTCGTTTGGCTGCGACGGTCTCGACCGCGCGCGCCAAGTCGAAATTGGCACCGCGTCGCTGTCTATTCCAAAGGTCCTGGGCTTTCGTCCGAGCCGCGGTCTCAAGGCTGGCTGGGACAGCTGGGCCGCGAAGGGCCCTGGATCGCGGGGCGGGCGGTCGGGGCGCGGGAGTTCCCCCGGACGTGGATTGCGACGGCAAGGCTTCCATGCTGGAGGACTGCGCCCGTCGCGCGTGCGCCAGACAGCGCGCGGGGAACTGGGCGCGGACTTGCACTGGCGTGCGCGAGGCGAGACGCGGGCACGGTGCAGCGGCGGGGCGGATCTTCGCG